AAATGCCTCTAAAAATGAGCCTGGCTCTCACTACTTTCTGCATGTAGCTTTGCAACAACAAATCTGCAACAATTCCCCAGAGACTAGTCCAGTGTTGCTAATGGAAATTCTGTAAGCTCTAAATTGGCTATTCTCATCTAATTTATTTTTTTATTCACTTGTATTACAGCCCTAGGCCACTTTAATGGTTCTGAAAAAAAGACGGTTTACTGTTCACCAGTGAAGTGACAAACTCCTGCCATCTAGAGGGTGGTTTCTGGAACATATTCAGGCAGATAGAGTTTCACAGGATAAAGTAAAACTACGATAAAATCCTTAATGTCCCCCTGTCTCCTTGAGGTTTTTCTAGATTTCTCCTTCTTCATTCATGACTTTATGTAAAAAAAAGCCCAGTCAAATGAGAAAAAAAATCATCACATCTGTGTATGTACTGTGGGTCCCTTCCAACTCAGAGTATACTGTGACTCTGTGATTCTGTTTAAGAATCCTTTCTTCAACAGCTTCCTTCATTCATGAAAGGAGATTAGCTGACTAGGATAATTATTCTAAAATAGATTAAAACTTTCTGTTTGTATTTTTTCCAACGCTGTATCATTTATCCTCATCATGTTCTTGCATTTATGGCTGCCTAAAACAGATTAAAATGGTCACAACCAGAATAAAAGAATATTGGTGACTGAGGGCCTTCATTATGAAAAGTGAGAATTACACAACAGAAGCACTGACATCTTGCAAAAGATCATATTTCCTACTTAGGCTGTTAGGTAAATAGCATGTGGCCATTGCTACTGACAATAATTAAAAATTACACCTCCACATTCCTTCTCAGGAAGAAGACATATCCAATTAAGTGATCATCATGATTTTTTGTCTCTAAATAATAATGCTGTTTTCTGGTGTGAAGATTAAAACTTGAAGGAAAGGTGAGACAAGCAAACAATTTGTTGTGGGAGATAAAACTCTGGCCTAACAAAAATTAGAAGAGTCTTCCTGGAAAGGTGATGGTGGCCAGTGAATACCTGCCTCTCTCACTAAGCCCAAATCACATTCCATAACCAGTAGCCAACTTTCAGTAAGAAGTGCACGACCAAGTGCAACGTGAAGCAATACAATCACCCCACCCGAGGGAATGGATGATCAAAGCACACAAAACAGTGCCCCAGGACTTATTTATATGAAATATGTATCAAACCCGTCCTAGGCAAAAGACTATGAAATACACTGGAATGTGATCCATGTGCTCATCTTCATTTGAATATCTATACAATACACTTTCTAATGATTTTCACAAAGGGTTTTCTAGGCAATATCCATCTATGACAGTGACTTGTATAACCTCAGGCAAGACAGAGGTGTGTACAGGGGTCTTTTATAGCATGGGTGTTATTTCCATTTTTAAACTACATTGTGTTCCTACCATTAAGATTAATCAATTTTAAAAACAGAGCCACTGATTAAATATTTCAGTGACAACTTTTCAGGGGCCAATTACAATCACAACTAATTGTTGCAATTATTATGTTGCAGTTATTATGCCCTAAATTTGGTCTCTGTCCAGCGAAAGTTGTGGTGGCAAATGACAAGAAAGCAAACAAAACTTGAGGATGGAACGGCCATGAGCAGGAACATCCCTGGGAACAGCCTGTAAGAGCCTTTTCAATGACTTCCCAACCACACTGAAACTGATGGCATGTTTTAAGCAAGTGGAGAGATTATATTGGAGTTTATTGGAGTTCGGGTTGCTCAGCCTGGAGAAGGCTCTGGAGAGACATCACCACAGCCTTTCAGTACATAAAGGGGGCTCTTAGAAAAGAGGGAAAGTGGCTCTTTGCATGGGCACATAGTGATGGGATAAGGGGGGAATGCTTTTAAAGCAAAAGACGAGAGATTTAGATTAGATACAAGGACGGAACTCTCATAGTGGGGATGGTGAGGCCTCGACACAGCTTGCCCTGAGGAGCTGTGGGTGCCACATCCTTGGAAGTGTTCAAGGCCAGGCTGGATGGTTCTCTGAGCAAGCCGGTCTAGTGGAAGGTGTCCCTTTTTTAATCGAAGAAGATAGAAGTGCAGGCCGGTGCAGCTCTCGTCATAACACCAAGCGCTTCGTAGCACACAAGCCCCCGGTGCCAACTACTCCTGTTTCATGATGCCTCCCTCCAAAACTCTGGCAACACCTTTCCCTCAGCGCCAAAACCCGCCGTTTCCCGGCTCCCTGCCCGCGGGCACCCTGCGATCCCGCGGGGGCACAGGGCGGGATCCCTGCCCTGGGATTCTCGCCTCCCTTCCCGGCTCCCCCCGGGCGCGGCCCCCGGAACGTTCGCGCCGGGCGGCGCGGGCCGGGCGGGCAGCGCACCGCGGACACACGGCGCTTCCGGCTTCCGCAGGGCCGCCCGAGCCAGGTGGGAGCGGCGAACGGGGAGAAGGGAGCTGGGAGAGGCGAAAGGGACGTGGGAACGGGGAGCGGGAGGTGGCAGGGAGGGCTGGGGGCGATCAGAGGTGGGCTAGGGGCGCCGAGGGTCCCGGTCCCCCGCGGCTTCCCTGCCCTAGGGAGCGAAGCGGCGCCTGGCTCCCCCGTGTCCAGGTCCCTGGAAGCACGGAGCGCGGCCGTCCAGGTTGGCAGCGGGATGCCGTGGCAGGGCTCGCCGCTGCCGAGCAGGGAATGTGCCGGTGATGTGCCTGAGGAAGCCCCCCCGGCCGTCCTGGGCGCCGAGCAGCGCGGCAGTCCCCGGGCGCTGCGGTCCCGCGGTGCAGTTTGTAGCCGCCTTGCTTCCGAAAGATGGAGTAGGTCACGGCAAATCACAGTGCCGGGACAAGTATTGTGAACTACCGCTAATGCGGACTTCTTTTTTTTTTTTTTTTTTGACGCTGTAATTTTTGTATGAGTGGTAGAACAGATTCGGAGTACGTGTGATGTAGAAGGTGTTTGATGGTCAAGTACAAGAAGGCTTGGAGTACAGAAAGCCTCTTTCGGGTGTTGGTGCTTGTGGGATGACAAGGGTAACCCGACAGCTCCCCTGCCCCACCAATGTATTGCTTGTTTCAGCTCTTCATGATGTGGTTCCTGTAGCGAAAGAGAGTACAACACAAGGCTCAGCACAGGAGACCCAGAAATCTGCTGGTGCAGTCAGTGTGTGTCTTTGGGACCTCCCCAAGGAACAAGAAGGCACAGGCATGGTGTGACTCCAGCAGAACTTGGATGCCAGACGTTGTTGATGTATCTCACACAGCACAGCCATCAGTTAAAATACACAGACAGCCTTTGGAGCTGTGGTGGGAGCTCTGCCTGTGGTCTTTGCCTGTGTTTACCTCAGCAAATAATGCAGCACATGAGCAACAAGAGGTGAAAATTTACAGGATGGAACATGGTGCTGGGGACCAGTACTCACATGACACATAGCAGGGCTTCTGCTTTGAGCTGCTATTCACCTCATACACAGCCTCCTGATACCTGTCTCTGCACAGGACCATCCCCAAGAGTCACACTCTGTCAGACTTAGAACTGTGACCACTTCTCTGGGGAGCCTGTTCCAGCACCTAACCATCTTCAGGGGAAGAACCTTTTTCTGATACCCAACCCAAACCTTCCCTGACACCACTTCCAGTATCTGAACTCTTGTGCTTTCTTGTGCCACAGCATCAGCCCTGAAGCTGGAGAGCCATCTCACTCCTGCAGCTGCTGCTCTGGCCCCAGCATTTTGCTCCCACGTAGGAAACTTCAAGTGGAGAAAACACCCTCCTGCAGAACTCTTCCCAGTTCAGGGCTGCCACACCTCACTGGGAAGCATGGCCATACCCTCTGGGGCTGAGGAGGGAACCAGGGTTGTTGTTACTGGGTGGTGACTGAAAGCCTGGATTGACTCCATAGCTTTGTTAAAAGGACCTGACATTGCAGTTCTGTTGTTACTTAGTTTAGTGCAGCTTTGTAAAAGCTGCCATCTAGAAGGTTTCTAATAACCTGTGTCCTCAGTAGTCATCAAGGCAGTGCTTTTCATGAAAACAGTTTGTCACTTTGACGCTTTGGATTATGAGGTAATGTGAAGAAGTCAAGGTATAAATACTAACCATTAGATTCTGTTGTTAAATCAGCATTTGAGTGGTCTGAAAATTAGTGTGCAGCCTCATGTTGGACTGAAATGTCACGCTCTAGAATGATGACAGTTGCCAGCAGGCAGCACAGCAATATAATTTTGACTACAAAATATGACACTAATATGATTTAAACACGGTGCAAAATGCTACAGGGTGAGAAAACTGATTTATGTGTGCTATCAAAACCAAATTTTAGTATTTGGTGAGGACGATATATTTCTGTGTTCAGGAAAGCTAGGATTCTTTGGTTTATTTTATAAGACCTTTTGAACAGCGATACTAATTCTTCTTCCAAGTTTAAGATGCTAGAATTGGCTGCCTGTTGATGCTGCAACTATCCTTATGGATGGTAGCATGCATGTCTGCTTGGAGTTAGGGATGCGGCTGGGAAGAGCAGGTACCTCTCACTTCATCAGGCCAGTGGCCCTGATATCCACCCACAGACCCTGCTGGAATCAGCAGAGCTGTCTCATCATGTGGGCCAGTTTCTGCCAGGCTCCAAGTCTGCAGTGCTTTTCTTCAAACTCCTTAAGTGGAGATTGAGATGTTAAGATGACACTTGAGTCTCAGTTACCACTTGTCTGAAGGTGTTTTTCTGTTTTTCTGCAGGTTTAGAAATCAGAGGCAGAGCAAGGAGCACTGGTTGGTGTACTTGTAGCTGAAGGAACTGTGGGTTAGTTGTACAAGTGCAGTGTGTGTTGGGGCAGATTGCTGGAGAGGCCAGATTTTCAAAACAGAAAAGGCACCTTTTGGTGAAGTACCAAAATAAGAGCTAACCATTTGGAAAGATCCAGCCATCCTGTTGTCTGCAAGGAAGTGTGATTTGGTAGCTGCCACACAAAGAAGTGGGTTCATAGACTTGAGAGTATTTTTTTACAACAGCCAATTTTTTTTTTGTCAGTGGAGAGATCATCACCTCATCCTTAGCTGCTTTCTCATTCCCATGCTTGCTAAGCAAACACCCCTGCTGCCCCTTTGACTGTCTTCCCCCATCAGATTGTGCTAATCTGGGCCTTGGCGGTGCTGGTTAGTTTGTTTTTAGTTTTCTTTTTAACCTGTATCTGGTTTAGAACAGGACACCAACAACAGTTACATCGTCAGAAATAAGGAGATGATAAAGATGGAGCCTAAGGAAGTGTCTGTGTTGAGAAGAGAAATTCTAACATCAGGCCACACCTTGAATCTCTCTGTTGTCCATTTCATAGAGTCAGGATAATCCTTGCCTAATTTATTATAAACACAAAGTAAACTAAGCATGTGTGAGTACTGCACAGTTCATTGTGGACATGGCAAGAGAGCAGTGATCTGATTGTTTGCCTGATGGTCTCACCGCTGTGTTGCACTGGTTCCCTCCTAGACTGTTAGAATGGAACTAAATGGACTTAACTAAGTGTAAATCCTTTATGGAAAACAGTGGTGTCTTCAAAGCAATGTGTGCTCATCTCTTCATTATTGGTAATATGCTAGAATGATAAATAAGGAGTACAAACATCCCTTTGTCATAGCTCTTAAATCTATATAATGAGATTTTGTTTTCTCAGCCTTCATGAAGTGTGAAATTTGCATTTTTGCAGTACACCACTGTTTGCTTACCTGAAGAATGCTTCTTAACTGACTGAAGCTGTTGCTGAGAATATGATGTGAAAGAGGAGATGAGCTGAATATTTTCCTTATTAAACAGACAAAGCAAACCAAAACCAGAGGCCCATCGCAAACAAGCCCACACAGTGGTTTCATTTTTTTTCAAGACAAAACACTTCAAAGATAGTTCAACAGAAAGTTGAGGACAGCAAAGTCTTTTTCAGATCACAAGATTCTTTATGGTTCATCACATGGCTCTTCCTCATGGACTGCCCCCTTTTTCTGCCTTTGAAAAGAAACTTTCAGAAAAGGAAATGAATGGAGATGAAGCACAGTTAACCTGTGAACTCCAAGATCCAATTTTAGTGGATGTGTCATGTGTATCCTCATATTTACATACATAATTTTGTGTGCATTCATTACATACCTATTTTCCCCCCACAGATAGTGAATATGCCTAAAAAGAAGACTGGTGCTCGTAAGAAAGCTGAGAACCGTCGAGAACGTGAAAAGCAGATAAGGGCTTCGAGAGCCAACATAGATTTGGCCAAACATCCTTGTAATGCTTCAATGGTAAAATTACCTAAAGTATTTTATATTAAAACACTTCATTTTAAATCATGTTAAACCAGTGATAATACATAAATGTATTTAATGCCTCTAGAATGTCGTTCTTCCTACTATTCCTCCTTTATATTTAAGCTTACATTTGCATTAGATGTATAATATTGAATAGAAAGTTTGTATCCTAGTCATAACTTAATTCAGAGTCCCTGTGGGTGTCTGCAAATTTTATATTTTACCTAGAATGAAAATAATTACCAGTATTTTATTTCTTCTCTTTAGGAATGTGATAAGTGCCAAAGGTAAGAATTTTTCCCCTTCTAAAACCAGTAGTTTAAATATTAATTGGTTTCAAACATTTCACAGGTCTTTTTTTAATGCTTGCTTTCTTTTTTTTTTTTTGGTTCTTCGTGTGCCTAGACGACAGAAGAACAGAGCTTTTTGCTACTTCTGTAACTCTGTTCAGAAATTACCCATTTGTGCACAATGTGGTGAGTAGAATTAATGAATGAAAACTGTCCTTAGTCCTGTTTGTGGTGTTAAACTCCCAGTACCTTTGTTAGAGTACCTTTGTCTAAAAGTACCTTTGTGGTTTGCACAGCAGGTTCTTTTAAATCTGCTGTGAATACCCTCCTTGAGAAGTGACCTTGTTTGATCATGCACTAATGTGTATGCCTCTGACCCCCAGAGGTTTGCAAGTCTGGGCATTTGATCTTTGGAAGAATTTGTCTCACTGCCTTTTGGGCTTGAGAACATCTGACTGTTTCCATACATTTACCATGTGGAGTATTTTGTGGTAATGGCAGCAAAACTAAGAGTGCTCTGCCTGCTGGGAGGGCACCAATAGATACTGCTTTTTGAGGGATTATATAATTTCTTGTCAGTTCAATATCAATTAAAGCAGCAGTACATTATTCATCTGGCATGGGGTTGCAATGTAATATACTGCTCATGTTATGGGCTAGAGGGCTGATGCTTTGAAAATAGAAGAGAAGGATTCCTAGTGACGGAACCCTGCTCTGAATCAGGCTAAGATGTCCTTTGTTTTTAAACAGGTGCTTGCTTGCAGGAGATGTTGATATTAATTTCCTACTGAGGTGAATTTTGTTGTTTCACTGTTCCAACACATCCTTGCAGATTTTCAATTTGTCATTAGGTAATTTGGCTGTTTTGTTGTGTGACTCTCAGAGCTGCTGACATCTGCAGCTTCCAGTGCTTTTGTTTTGACCTGCAGATGTTGAGCATTTCTGGGAGCCAGGCTGTTAGTGTGCACTGGCGGTGTGTCATCCTTCATAAGTCTTCCTTCTGTCATCATGCAGGGAAGAACTAAAAACGCGCTCTCTATCTTACAGTACCCATCTGAACTTGACTCCTGTGTGTTGAGTTTATTTTAATCTGGAGTATTTTTCTAGAGGAAAAGCATTCCTGCCAACAACCATAACATTATATTGAATCCAAGGGTTTTCCAAACAAAGGCCAGCAGAGCTGTTTAATGCTTAATCAAGCACTGAGGACAGACACTACAAACCAACAGCACCTTGCTTAGAGAAGTCCCTGAGGGATGGGATTTAATTATCTTCAGAGTAGAATTTGGTTTTTCAGGCCTTGAGTGGGTGGGCAGGGAGTACCTTGCTGTTGGTTTCTCTAAGCAGGCAATAACAGAGACATCAAAGGGGTCCATGGCAGCACAGCTTGAATCAGTGATAAAACTCCACTGCAGTAGCCTGAGCTAACTACAAGATCTTTTTGCTTGTATAACTGCAGACAGAGTGTAGATCTTTCTGGTAGAGCTATTTATGTCAGAGATGAGGAGTAGGGGAAAATTGTCACCCTTGCTGCTTGCTTGTGTCAGAATGACTTTTAGGTGCAGGCTGTGGCTTTTCCTCCTACCTGTCCCCTGTATTCAAAGTGAATTATTTTGTCTAGAAACTAATCTACGTTTTTTTAAAAAGAAAAAAACCCACATCAACCAACTACCAAAAAAACCAAGTATCCAAGTACTTGCAAGTAATTAAACACATGGGTTTTTTTCTTGTGCCTTGCACACAGCATATGCTGCTGTTATGGTGGAACAGAACCAGCAGCAGTTTTAAGTACAAGGTTTTAAGATGTCACTGCTTGACTTTGGCCTTAGTTTTGTTCTTTGGTTTGACATTTGACATATCTGCCAGTGCCTCAAAACATAGAGCAAGACCAACACATTGCCATGTTATCTCAGTACAAGGGCAAGAGGTTTTGGCTGAAAAGAGACAATAAGTTAACCTAAGGGAGATGTGAAAGTGGGTTGCAGGATGCAGCAATAATTCAGACATCTTTATTTGCATTACTTTATCTAGATTTACAGTTGAGCTCAGGTATTTAGTGAAGTGCTGTTCTTATATGAACATGCATTCTACTTTTTTTCCCATAGTTTTCTTATGGTTGCTTGCCTTTTTATTTTAAACAGGAAAAACCAAATGCATGATGAAGTCTTCAGACTGTGTTATAAAACATGCTGGTGTGTATGGTACTGGACTAGCAATGGTGGTATGTATACAAAATTAAAGCCTTTTTAGCAGTATGAGGTTATTTTGTGCAAATCTTTCTGAAAGAAGATAGAACAGATTTATGGAATGATAGCCTGTACCGTGCCAAGTTTTTTTCCCCCATATTTTACTATAAGAATCTGATTTTTCCCTTGTACTGAAAACCCAAATTTTGCATTTTTAGATTCAACTCCTGCAAGCTCCAACACGTCCTGGATGCTCTTGGTGGCAGGCCCTAAGCACCTGCATGAACAGCACTGGAGCTTACATGCCCCATATCCAATTCTCAGTCTTTGTTACAATCTAGGATCATTCTGCAAAAACCTGCAGACTTTTGTTGCTGTTGTCTTAGTATTGCAGAGATCATCAGTGTCACAGACAGGAATCTGTTCCATAGCATTAGGAGGGAATTTTACTTAACATAAACCCTCATTTGGGCTCTTAAAGGAGATAATCATAGCTTCAGGCCTTTGAATTTTTGTTCTAAGAAGGACAAGTTAGTGTCTCCCTTCTGGAAAGCAAGGTATGACATGTCACAGCCTCTAGATTAAATGCTATGTGGACCAAACCTCTGTCCTGTTTCCACCTCCAATTGACAGTCAGCTTTTCTCAGTAACATCAGCTGGCCTTCACATTCTGATGTTTCTGAACTCATCCCATGCATTCACTCATGCAGTAGTGAATGCCTCAACAATTAATTTGCATTCACATTGTTTCCTTAGTTTTGTGTGCATGTAATGCACATGGTAGTTACATATGGGATGAGGAGGCTTCTTAAATGCTACAGCTAAGGATAGCTGATGTAAAGATCTTGTAATTTAATCAAAATGAAAAGTTAAAGAGTCTAATTCACTAGAAGTATTCTAGTGAGTTGTTTGATGTTTGCTCTTTGCAGGGATGTGCTCTAATATAGCATGGTTTAAAATGTGAATGAGTGACTTCAGCTGTAAGAAACTATTGCCATTTTTCATGTCTTTTTTGAAATTCCAGTTTTGCCAGAACACTGTTATCCTTTGTGGATCTCAGGTTTCAACTGGAGGACAAAATTTTCATGCACACAATTTACGAAAAGAAATGTGAAAAAACAGAAAAAGGAGAAAACCAAGTTATTGTACCTCATATTTAGTCCTGCAGAAATGAGTAACAAACAAGATGAACTGAGGAGCAGCTTGATAGGAACGCAGATGCAGTTCAGTATTCTCCCAAATATCAACCGAAATGAACTCACTGAAAGAAGGAATTTACTAGGATACATTGAGGACTGTGGAGTCAGAGTCTCTCTCTAGGTATTGCAGAAGTCCAGAGATGATATCTTTCTGTAATTGCAGGGTGCAATCTGTGATTTCTGTGAAGCTTGGGTGTGTCACGGGAGGAAGTGCCTCAGCACACACGCGTGTATCTGCCCTCTCGCAGATGCAGAGTGTATTGAGTGTGAAAGAAGTGTCTGGGACCATGGTAGGTTGCTCACATTTAAAAACAAGAAAATATAAATTGCCTTGCTTAAAAAGTACTGCACCTATATTCTTAACAGCATTTTTAATCCTCACTGATTAGTCCTTGCAAGTGTGTTTGTTCAAAGCAAGGATTCTCCCCGTTTTAAAAACAGACATTATGCACTGGGGAAAGTAAACAACCTGTTTAAGAGCATACAGTGCTCAAGTCAGGGATGATTGTGTCATCTAAAGTATAATGGTTCTATCAGCCTAATTATTTGCATAATTAAGCACTGCATCAAATTGCCAACAGAGTCTTCTGCCATTCCCACTCCGTTCTTCTGCACTAGCACAGGTATTTGGATTCCCAATTGCTTAGCAAACCATACTGGTCTTCATTTGTGGAATCCTTTAAAGTGTTTATTCCAAGCTTATATCAGAGGGAAGGGGATGGGAGGGAAGGGGACTGGATGAGAATATGATCTGATTTAAGGAAAATACTTAATGCTATAGTTGAATTAAAACAAAGAAGTACTAGAAGTAATACTCTCTTTATACTGTCTTGTATTGTAGGAAACAAGGTATTTGTCAGTGTAAAAATGGATGGCAGTGCCTATTTCAGGACTTTGTTGAAGCATTAGTGACAGAAGAGAGACCTGGTTTTCAGTCAACATTACAGCCTAAACTGTTTGCAGAGCAGAACTTGATGCCTGTGCCTGTTGCTGATTATTTTGCCTTGATAAATCTTTCAGGAGGCAGAATATTCGCCTGCTCTTTTTGCCATGATTTCCTCTGTGAAGATGATCAGTTTGAACATCAAGCCAGCTGCCAAGTTCTGGAAGCAGAGACATTTAAATGTAAGTTAGTTATTCATCGTACCTTTCACCACAGCTAAGCAGACTCTCCACTTGCTTCCTCTGTGCTGCAGAATACTCTCTGTCACCTTTCCTGAATAGCTTTTGCCTTTTTCGTATATGCCAGCTCTTGGTATCCAGTTATCCAGACTAGAACTTTTGTCTCTGACCTTTCTCCATGCCAGAGTATACATGGCAGTTGTTTTCCTGCCAGGCTCCTGCAGGCCTCCCATGGGAAGCTGCCTTTGCAGGAGCCAGCAGCTGCCAAAGTTGGGAGTGTTGGCAGTGGCTGGGCCTGCAGCAAAACGGCTTGGACTGCTGATGCTGCTTTCTTACTCCACAAAGCTCTGCAGGCAGGAGGAGCTATCTTCCACTCTTCTGACCCTATGATGAGCTATTTCTAGATCCGTGTTCCTCATGGAAAACAGCTGCCCCAAACAGTGCCAGCTCTGTTAGTCTGGCTGAACTTTCCCAGGTTGCTGTGGAAGGCCTGTGTGTTGGTGAAGGGTTGGCAGCTGTTGAAGTCCTGAGGAAGGCTGTGACTCAGTCAGCGGCCATTATCTGATTCAGGGGGGACATGGTGAGCACAGAAGGAAGTGACAAAAATAGTCCAGAGCATGATTTCAGCCCTCATTTCCTCACTGACCAGTGGACAGGTGTGTCAGTAATGTATCAAGTGTTGATACATGTCCACTCTTACTGTGTAAAGAACAGGTAGCTGAAGACTCAATGTCCTTTTGAACTTCGATTAATTGTGTGGACAAAACTGAAACTGGTGTTTGTAAGAGGACACGATAGCAATGCCTGACTTTGCTCACTCACTGCTCACCTCTGGCTGAAACAGGGAAATTTCAAGGGAAGTTAAAAAAAACCCCAAAAAACAACAAAACAACAAAACACCAACAAGCCAAGACTATGCATGTTTGAAATAACTAAGTTTTTGTAGAAGTATTTCTTGTCTACCCACCATTAATGACTATTTGGTTTATCCCATGGGACATTTGTTTCTCCTTTCCAAAACTTGTATGCCCGTATTTCGACTATAAAATAATTTTCAATCCTTATTGTAAGAAATTGAAGGTGCTCTTTCTCTTAAGATTATTTTCTTTAGAACTGACCAATCTCTTGTCCTAATTTATCTCTCCTGGTTCAGAATATTTGTTGATTTCAATGTTCCAGTTGGTGTCTTTAGAAATCTCTTACCTCTTTTTCATGTCCCACCCTTTTGTTCCCAGCCAGCGATTCTCTGAGCCTTTCTTTAGCTTCCATTGATGTATTCTGCCAGAATACCTTCCTGCATAGCAATATTGAAGCAGCAACAGCTGTTCCACAAGAATGTTTTTTCAGTGATTGTTGGAAGCTTTTAATTCACAGATGTGATCACACCCTGAATAGGGAAAGAGTTTTTTGAGGTTTTTTTCACTGTATTCAATGTTTTCTGGCACAGCACTGACTTGGTAGAGATACAGGATTTTTGTCAGTGTGTGGTAATAAGATTATAAAACCTGTAATTTTACAGAATTCATGAACTTTAGATGTGGTCATGCAATTGTAGTCTAAATCCATTCTAGCTGTGAAAAGGGTTGTGTTACTTCCCAGCACTATCTGAGAGAAGTTTTTTAAAGTGCAGATACTCAAGAAATGACAAATATAAATGCATTATCATTTCCATCTTTAAGCACGTGACAGACCTCTAAATCCCATGGCTGTCCTGCTCATGTGGAGAACTCATGATATTTATTATTCAAAAACTTCGTTGTCACAGGGGCAAGGAAAGGTGAAAGGGAATAAATACTCACACAGAGACTGATAAAATACATATTACTGCTTCTCAAGGAGTAACTATTCACCCAACTTCATGTTTCTGCCAATTCATGAGTGTTTGCTTTTACTGTACTCCCTCTAGTGGAGTAAAAAAACAATTTGAAGCTCAAGACAAGTTAGATTTTGGGCACTGATTTTGCTCTTTACAGTTTGTGTGCCAGGTCCAGTTCTTTAACACAGATAGACTTTCATATGAAGTTGTGTGCAATCAAGTGCATTTCCAGATGATATGACAGAAAATACAGAACATAACTTTTCTAAGTTTGGAAGTTTGTAAGCTTTAAGGGTTCCCAGATCACCAGCACTCCTTGTTTTGATGTTGTGAGAAAAACAAGACGATCACTTAATACCAAATTTTTTCTGAAACTTCTGTTTTTAAAAGTTGATAAGCTCAAGAAATAATTAAACTTTTTCCCCTCTTGATTTTTTTTTCCCCCTGTGTCAAATTACATTAATGCCATGAGGCTTAGGCTTGGAGAAAAAAATCTAGTAAAAAAGTCTCTGTGTGGTAAAATGTCTTGATTCACATTGCCATTGTACAGTTATGTCAGGGAATTAAAAACAAATGCCTCAATAACGGTATTACATACTTTTACAAGGTTTTAAACACGTCACAGGTCTGCAGTTTCCAAGTACTGACTTTGACATATTGATTTTCTCCAACAGGTGTGTCCTGTAACAGGCTTGGGCAGCATTCGTGCCTGCGTTGTAAGGTAAGGACAGTTTTGGGTAGCTGTGATTTTAGGCTCATTCTCCTTGGTCTCCAAGGCTGTTATCAGGTCTTGTCATGTCTTCCTCTCCATTATTAAAAAAATATACCTTTGTATTATATATTAGGAGGCAGACCTCTTGGGGGTAAAAGGTCTTTTATCTGTGCTTGCCTGTTAACCACTAACCAGTGTTGTGTATCCTTACGCCAGCTGAGACGATCTTCACTTTGTCCAGCCCTCTTAGTTTAAATTGGGCCTGTACTATGTTGGGGCTTAAAAAACAAAACAAAACAAGAAAACAAATCCTTGGCCTTGAACAGAAGGCAAGGCTTTGAAATATGTTTTGATCCAGTGTGGATCTACAATCATAAAAAAACCTGTTCTTTTTTTTAAACAGTCAAGTTTAACAGTCAATCTGACCAGAAATTGCTGCAGCCTGGATCCAATAGAAATAATCTCCACAGCTAACCCAGTTTTACATGTGAACAGACTAATTTGTTGACATCAGGCTCATGGTTTTACATACTCAGAAGTAATTTTGTATAAAAAGTTCCACCTGCTTCATCGTCAGCATTGCCCAGATTTCTCCAGCTGCTGGTTCATTGCCTGCTCTTACTCTTCTTATCCTTCATATGTTTCCCTGCACTCTCTCATGGCATTTATGGCATATTCCAAACTGTTCCTTTCTCCAGGTATCTTTGCTGTACCCTGGTGCTCAGTATGTGAACTTTCCATCTCTAATTCTTGCCTTTAGGCCAGAGCACAGTTGTGTTCTGGCAAATATCTCATTGTGTTTTATTTAGGCTTGTCAATGTAAACCCATGTTTGCCAGGATCCTTGTGGGCAGCACTACAACCCAGCCCTGGAGTACATTACTTTCTCTGCTTGTTTTTTGGCACTTTTATGCAGCCTCTTCCCCAGGAAGCTGTGGAACTACATTCAGCACAGAGTGGTTGTGCTGTGCACAGACCCCACATCCACTGCAGATAGACCTCATTAAATTTTAATCCCAACCAGAAAACCCTGCTGCTGTTAAAACAGCTTTTTTGCTTGCTTCTTGCTGAAGAATATGCTTCTATGATTAAAACATTTAGCCTTTTTATTCTCCCTTCAACCAACAGGCTTGTTTTTGTGACGACCATGTGCGAAGTAAGGTCTTCAAGCAGGAAAAAGGAAAAGAGCCTCCTTGCCCTAAATGTGGCCATGAAACTCAGCAGACAAAGGATCTGAGCATGTCAAGTAAGCCATCTTCTCTAGCTAACAAGCCACTTGGTGCTAACAAGCTAACAAGCACCATTGGTGACTATTTTTCTGCCTAGGAACACTGAGTAAAATCTGGTTACTTTTAATTGTTTTGCACAGCTTTGCTGCATTTGTTTTGGGAAAAACTTTCTCAATTATAGAATTGAGCAGTCTCATTCTTAATCATTAATTGATTCCAATACAGTGAAGGCTTTTGTTTAGTTTGAGATTTTAGTTGTGGAAAAAAATGAAAATAAAGAAGTCACCATTTAAATCCTTATTTCATCTACAAGAAGCTGATTAATGAATTTCAAAATGTGTCTTGATACATATACAATCTACCCCAACCACTCTTGAATAAATCACCCTAGGTATTGTGTCTGCAAAGCACACATCCAAGTTGCAGGTCTTCTTGGCTAGAGTGCCAAAGGATTATCCTAAGAACTGAAGACATACTCTGGGGGCAGTTCCTAATTATACAAACTTGGCTGCACTTCTGTGTGCAGCAGCAGAAAGGTTCTGTTAGAGTAAGGACTGAATCTGGAAATGTCAGATTTAGAAAACAGAGCACGCCTAACATGGTGTGCTCTTCAAGCAGTGAAAAAAGGGATAGAAAAGAAATGTGGGATTGCTGTTGAGGGGTGGGAACGTGATGGTTTTTCTCTGCCTGCAGCGCGCTCCCTGAAGTTTGGCCGACAGACTGGAGGAGAAGATGCAGATGGAGCTTCTGGTTATGATGCCTACTGGAAGAACCTCTCCTCCAGCAAGGCTGGAGAGGCAGGTGACCGTGAGGATGAATATGACGAATACGAAGCAGAAGATGATGATGAAGACAATGACGAGGGAGTGAAGGATTCGGATTCTGAGACCACAGATGTCTTCAGCAATTTGAATTTAGGAAGGACCTATGCTAGTGGGTATGCACATTACGAGGAATCAGAAGATTAAGCCTAGTATGGTGGGAAGCTAAAAACACTTGGAAGGAGCCAAGCAATGCTTCACTGAGTTGTGTATGCACCAGTAGGATAGCTCTATCAGGTACTTACATGTCAAAGTTAGAGAATTAAGAGTGTGGGACTTCTGCTGTAACTCCAAGGGGGACTTTTCTTTTATATGAACCAACGGTTTTGGGACTGGGGGAGAAAATCAGAGTATTTTTGTTCCCCTAAGCAGCAGAAGGTCATGTCCTTGAGTTACTGAGTATAATGGTTCAATGCCATTTTCTCATATCAACACAGGAATGTGGGAGAGCTGTAGAACTTGCTTCCATTTGCTCATCAGAGATTAAGTTATTTTTACAATCATTTTGTTAACTGATTTCATACATTAATGCAGTGTTGGGTTGGTGACTGCATTTTTTTCTGGTCTGCACAATAAAAGTCAACTGCATTCTCTAATGAACTGTCATAAATATTGATCTCCCTTGAATAGTTGAAAAGCAGGCTGTATACAAAGTGTGAATTGACACTAAAATAACTTCCTTGTTTATGTAGGTATGGCAGATCAATGTAGTTCTCTGTGTACTTGCCCATCACCCTTTCAGCATTTTTAGTATTAGATAGTAATTGGTAGGGCTATATGCAGTCATTACAAGTTCATCCCAGATAATCAAAACTTTTATGGCAATAAAAATGTTCATGTTTCCTCTCTGCCACAAAAATCTATACGGCACTTTCTCATTAGATCAAAAAGAGACTGTTTTCTTCTGTGCCCAGCCTTCAACTCATTTCCTTGCATATGATACACACCTCCCAAAATATTAGATAGGAAACAAACCCCTATATGAATTGATAAGGTGAGAAAACACAGATGGGGTTCAAAATGCTGGGTCCAAATATTATTCTGTGCAAGGGTGCTGGTACAGGGCAAGTGATCAACACATCTGAGCAAGGAGGTGACACCTGCAGTAGTGTTTGCTGTGATTCTGGTCTGAAAGTCAGCGTGTTAATTACCAATGTACAGATCTAAGTGGTGGCATTTATTTTCTTTCTTTAGGGGAATGTTTTACAGCAGACAGATCACGACATGAGGGCAGCTACCTAAAGTGCTGCTCCAGCTTTCTAAATGGCATGCTTTAATGCAAGAGAGCCATTTCTTGTTACCTGTCAAATATCTGAACTGATTATAGCATTACCTGCTTTTGTGGTGCTTTCTCTACTGTTTCTTAACAGCTAAAGGTCATGTGTTGGCAGAGCATATCCCTTTGATAATAATTTTTAGTGATGTTAGGAGTGCCAAATGAACATCTCCTAACAAAACAGGGTTGGGGAACCTGGCATCAATACTTCCCTCCTAAATGCATCTTGTACCAAATGCATGAAAGACAAGAGCTGGAATGCATCCAAGACAGAAACAAACTGACAAAGAGCACAACTTGGATATGGCACCTGAGGGAAAAAAGTCTGTGGGAGAAAGGAACACAACTGGTCAGTGCATGCCTTCAGAACTGGAGAGGAAACCATTTAATGCACTGTCTGAAAGCCAAATCCCCTTCAAAGATTGAAACTCCAGGGCCATCCAATTCCATGTGTTAGCAAAGAGTCATCTTAAATGATGTACCTGATAGATGTCTTGATTAGTCTTTTGCATAACCAAATTTGAAGTGAGGGAAGCAGGATGCCTGCCAGTTCAACACTGATCACTTATTTGTGGAATTGGCACCTGCAAGAGAATTTCTGCTCAACTTTATATGGTCCAAAAACTTCCACGTTGAGTCCATCATTGGCTGGCCAATTCCAGCAACAGTGCCAGTTTTTTATCCTGGCTGATGTCCCAAATACAAAACAATTACTCATCAGTACAAAGTCTTATACAGAACTGAGGAAATATATCTGTTTCTGCATATATGTAAAATTATAGCTGCTTGTGTGTAATTTATTGTTTCTTAAAATGCACAAAATTCCTCTTTAAAGTTTTTGGCTCTTGAATTAGGATTTTCCCTTATGAAATCTGCTGTCACTGGCAGTGCCAAAGGCTGCTGACATAACAGAATTAATCATCATAATCAGAGCAAAGAATTATTCATTTTCTCATTGAAATGTCCTTCCACTGATCCTTGCAGGATCAATACTCCAGAGCTAATGTGTGTTCCTATGATCCCACTGTAAGTGCTGCCTGCAGCAGATGCTCGGGCTACCTCCTGTAATTTAGCAAGGTCGCTGCTCAGTGGACATTTATTTGCTTTTCCTTAGTGCTGCTGCTCATACCACTGAAAATGCCTGTGCTGTCAGCCTGTCTGGAAATGGGGTCCAGGTATTAGACCTGCAGTGCCTTGGCCTTCCAGGGGTCAAAACAAGCAAGTTTAAGCTGATTTAAAGTAATCCGGTGGATTCAGGCTGGAACAGACAAACATGCCTGTGTTTTCTACTAACAGAGTTAGTCAGTTTGTGGCCAGACAGGCAGGATATGATGCACTTTCTCTGCTTATTTAGTACAGTTAAAAACAAATGGTCTGTTGGGCATAGGCCCTCAGAGCTTGCTTTCAGAGAAAGTGCATAATTTTGGTTATCTGAAGGTAAATTTCAGGAATAGGATGGAACTGAAAATGAACGTGTATCCTGGCTTTATTGAAAAACAGTTCAGGGACAAACTCAATCTTGCTGGCTCCATTTTTCTTTATTGCTATTGTTCTACTCTGAAGTGTCTTGGAGGAATGTCAGTAGGCCCCTGACAGGGCAGCGTGCCATCTCCACACCTGAAAATGTAAGTTAGTGCTCCTCTTACATCTTCCTCTGAATTCAGCAGCTGGTTTAGCCCTTCCTAAATCCAAAGGTGATATGCTGGAGTACTGATGATGTACATTTTACAATTCACAGGATCTCAAGCTAGTTCAGACACTGCCACAATCCACCAAGCACTTTCAGGTGACTGCTAAGCTTCTGTCAAAGTCGTCGGAGTCCGGGACGTGGTGCCTGGGCTCACAAAAAGCCCCTGCATAACTCCATGTTTTTAAGACACCAGTACTGCAGAGTGTGCTTCCTGGTGGGGCAAGAGTAAGGGAAATACAATCCTGAGATTTTATGTTTCCTTCGAAAATCCTGTCCCTGATTGAAGGAAATTCAGAGCCGAGGGAAGGATAGTCCTGACATGTAATCAGGAATACCTGAGAGTTACATATAGCACTCCAGAAAAACAAGACCTAGATAAAGTCTTACACTTTATTTTTTTCCCATTTCTGTGACAACCATTTAAACAAAACTTAAGTAGAACTTGAATTAAAATCACAGTAACCTTTATTGTGCTTGTAGATCCTCAAAAACAAGAGCTCTGGCCACCTTTGTAAGCTCTTCTCTTGCATTTCTTTATTATGGTGACAGCACCAGCTCATTATGAATTCATTGGTTCTCCTGTGGGTTTAATGCATTTTCCTTCATACTCATGTGTAATTTAGCACCTGTGACTGGGAGTCTTTTGGTCAATCCTGCATTGCTGATTTTGTTTCCAGAAAATTAATGGGAAGATCATTATAATGTACTGGACCGCTGAAAAAGTAGTTGCAGGCATGTCACAAGGAGCTGGAGGACAAGCATCAGAAGTGCCTGGAGTCCTCTTTCTTCAGGAAGAAAGATACTAGCGTGTCTTACATGCATCTGTCCAGGTCCTGATCCTATTTTCAGAGGAACCAATGGCAAAATTCCCATTTATTCAAGTGGGAACAATTCAATAGTCTTTAATATCTACAGGTCCTCTTAAATGTCAGGAGGTATTATGGAACACAACATGAGCCTAAGCTGAAGTGGGGAAGATGAAGCAAAGTTTAACATGAGGTTAATATGCTCCCATAGCATAAAAGTATTTGTTCTAAATTTCAATAGATCCACTGGAAAGTGCTCTCAAGACTGAAAGACACAGCAGGAAGAGACAAGGTTCGAGAAGATGGAGATATTTAATTACTCATCTCCTGAAAGTGTGCACCTAGTTAATAAATATTTGTTAAAAGCTCAAAGCAGTTGGGACATAGATAAATTTTATCATCTCTGCTTTGTAGGTACATAAATAGAAAACACAGTAATGGGCAAAATCCTAGCCTGAGTCGTCTAGTTGGCAACAGCCCTCTGCAGCTTGGAATCTCCATCCCCTACCCATGGACCTCCAGGCTAGACATATACCTAATGATATTCCTTTATTAAGAGCTACCACACATTGGAAATTTGAAGCAGGGCCTAGTTTTTAGGCAGGAGAGACAAAAATCAGTAAAACATCACAGACGTGGAAAATATTCCATGGAAAAGCCACTGGTTTCCCTTTGCTAAACAAAGAGTAGATTCACAAGCCTGTACTTCACTGTGGAAGGAAAGAAAAATAAACTGCATTTAAATCTCTCATCAAATTATGCCCCTACAGATAAGAGTGCAAGTTTGCTGTTAGTTTACAGCATTTTACAACATTCCATTTTTAAGTACTGCCCAGTGTTCGTTGGAAAGAGGAACATGAGAAAGCCTACTGGAGCTATCTCTACTACTCTTCTCTAACACTGTTAAGTATACTAAGATGTTTGCTGCATCTTTTTTAACCCCTCTTCTTCAGCCAGTGATTCTTCCACAGTGTTCCCCAAACTTAACTGTGATTGGAAATTCACTTTTATTTCCTTCTGAAATGTGAAGTACCGAGTGCCTCAGGGCCCAAGCACTATTTTCACTTCATCTTGATGTTACATGACATCTGTTGTAGATTTTCACTTTACAAAACCACTGAGTAAGTTTTTTCTTAATTTTTTATTAGAGTGTTAGAATGCCAAAGAGCCACAATTTCTTTAGCAGATAATACAAGTATTTTGCTGCTTTAGTTGTCTGTTGCTGCTCCTACTGGGTTTTTTTTGGCACAGAGAAAGAGGCTGATTATTTTGAAAGTGAATCCCTGCTAGTCAGGCATATAAACCCTCGGGCTGCCTCCAGTCTGATTTAAATTCAGCACCTTACTTTAAAGGCAGAGACAAGGATGAGCCCCTTGGAGATTTTCCCACCAGCATGAGAGGTGCGCAAGGACCTCACCCTGGATGTCAGCATCAATTCACAGTGTGTGCTCTCCTGCCACTTCAAGGTGGTAACAACTGAAACGTGACCTTTCACTAGACTACTTTAGAAGGCTGCAGCCTCTACCTCTTTAAACACGTATAGCCTGGAAAAAAAGCTGAAAAAAACCCTACAAAACTGAATCCCATGAGAAGGTATCTGCCTCTGCTTCTTCCTCGGGGATAACAGCAAGCATCCACAAGCTTGCAGAGAACTTATTATTACCATTTTTACCTTATTAAAAAAAGAAATAATAATCTATTGAGCATGGATTTAAGCAAGAAAAAGAAGCAGAAAGTTAAAGGTGTTACCCTGTCAACAGCTGAACAGCAAAGCTGTACTGGGCTCTTTGAAGGAAGGGCATGCAGAGGACAACACCATATGCT